AAAGCAAACCAAATGTACGCATAATCGTGGGCAGCTGGACAAACTCACTATTTTTTTTGAAAACTTTTCTGGTCGATGGGGGGCGCTAAAAATTGTCATAGGATCATACAGCTATACCACCATGCCAAAGACAACTTCCAGAGTATTACCCACAATGCTGTGCTATCTCACATAATGCGTCAAAATTGATGCCGCTTCTTTCTTGAGGAGAGAAACAAAAAATAAAAGAAATAAAACTTGGTGATGATCCTTATGGAATGTTCTGAGCCACAGATCAATTATCACTCTACTGACGTTCCTGGAACCGCACGCGCCTTTCTTTTTGATGCTTTTTTTTATTTTTTTGCCAAATGGAAAAGACTTTTGCACATCTTAATTTTCACCTTCGTTGAGTTTGTTTGTTAAGACTTTTGACGGAGGGGATCTCCTTTTACCCTCGAATTTGATACCACAAGTGTTGGTTATGTGGCTGGTACCGTGTCTCAAGGCAAACAATCCATTGGAAATCGGTCTGGGAAGCTGTGGAAGTTCCCCGACGCTGCTGCGAGCTTCTTTAGGAGGTGAACATTTTTATTATGAACAGTGAACAATCAATTTGTTTCATCGGAAGACTTTTTCATACATTTCTGAAACTTGTTCCCCCCTCCCCCCGATGTGGGGTTAAAATTTCACATCGAGTCGGAACACAATGCTGCGCTGATCCTCTTTTCATGCAGGACTTCAGACAAAAATCCTACATCACTATGTTCCTTTTTTTTAAAATGCCAAACACAACGTGTTAGGTTTGCATAGATGGTGTCCAATCAAAATGTCTGGTCAAAAAAAAATCAGAGCTGGTAGATCAGTCCTATACGCTTGTTATAGAATCCTTGTGACATCACTGATTTTTCATAGGAATATGCAAATAGATGGAAGCTGTTGGCATAATGTACGTGCCCATTGCGGTACCTGATAAATGCCAGTTCATAAAAAATTATAATATTTAAAGCCAATATCCACATTACTTTTCTAGTTCATAATTTTTTTTAGAATTAGGGGACATTTTGAAAGCAAATCTGGTAGCAAAAAAGTCATAAAAATTATTCATAAAACAAATTTTATCACATAAACAAAAAAAAGTGTTAATTTTTTATCATTTTATCTTTTTTTTTAATAATTTTATCTTTTTTTCCCCTTAAATTAATTGCCAAATTTGGATACAATTCTGTCATCACTGATAAACTGTAATGACTGTTTGATTTAAAGGACTAGCCCACTGACTTGCATTTATAATATTATAATATGCAAGTATTCGGAAGCTGCTGGCATAATGTACGTGCCCATTGCGGTACCTAGTAATTGCCAGTTCATAAAAAATCTAATTTTCAAAGCCAATATCCAAATTATTTTTCTAGTTCATAATTTGTTTTTGTTTTTTATAATTAGGGGACATTTTGAAAGCAAATTCATAAAATTATCCATAAAACAACTTTTATCACATAAACAAAGTTAACTTCTTATCATTTTATCTTTTTTTTATATAATTTTATCTTTTTTTCCTGTCAAATTTGGATAAAATTCTATAATCACTGATAAACTGACTGTTTGATTTAAAGGACTAGTCCACTGACTGGCATTTATAATATTAATGTTGAATAGATGACAGTGGATTGAATCGCCCTCTTTCATATATCTCTCAGGGACTTGATTAGCAAGAACTTTGCACTTTTCCAGGTCAGATCTTCCAGAGTTTCCAGGTCTGTTCTTCTACCATACCAATTCCAATGACCCTTTGGTTTTCAGGTTTATTTAAAGTTAAGAAAGCCGCCAGGAGGAGTGAGACTGTCCCCCGCTACAGCAGGAAGAGTGAGATTCTGCAGGAGGAGTAGACTTGGTAACTCATGAAAGGAAATCTTTCCACTGGATTTGCTGAGAGATATAGAAAGAGTGAGTCAGCCCATCAGAATCCACCAATACCCGAAGCTTGCTTTTTGAAGGAAATGACCCGATTGCATAGTCCTATAAATTTGGACTCTGCAGCTGTAGTTGTATATATCCCGGAGGTGAAATCATGTTGGAGCTCTCTTATTTTTTAATGGTTACTTTAAGTGATCGTATTTATAAGGAGAAAAAATGAACAGGAAGTGCATAGACAGAGGCAGAACAGCAATATCTGGCTTTCAAATACGGTCCTCAGGCTTTGGCAGATGTATTAGGATGGTAGGGTAGGAGCACAGTGATCTGATACAATGTATACTTTTATATTGATACCTGGCCAAGAGTATGTGGAGATCTCCAAATGATACCTGGCCAAGAGTATGTGGAGAGCTCCAAATGATACCTGGCCAAGAGTATGAAATGATAACTGGCTGAGAGTATGTGGAGACCTTCAAATGATACCTGACCGAGAGTATGTGGAGAGCTCCGAATGATACCTGGCCGAGAGTATGTAGAGACCTTCAAATGATACCTGGCCAAGAGTATGTGGAGAGCTCCAAATGATACCTGGCCGAGAGTATGTGGAGAGCTCCAAATGATAACTGGCTGAGAGTATGTGGAGAGCTCCTAATGATACCTGGCCAAGAGTATGTGGAGAGCTCCAAATGATACCTGGCCGAGAGTATGTGGAGAGCTCCTAATGATTAGGTTCAGGTATTATCAGGGACGTGTATTGTCAGTACTACAGCATACAAAGTCATTTTAGAGAATTGTGCTCTTCTGACCTTATGATGACAATCCACGGAAGGCCCTTTTCTGTTCCAGCATACCCGTGCCCCTCTGTATAAAGGAAGCTCCATGAACACATGGTTTGAATTAGCTTGGTGTTGAGAAACTTGAGTGATCTGCATAAATCCCTGACCTCAGATCTGCTGAACACCTCTGGGATGCATCGGAACACCGATTATCAGCCGAATCTTGTCATTCAATATGAGTACCCGACCTCACAAATTTGAGCTCAATGGGCACAATGACCCCTACATCACCACTTTGTCCTGTAGTGGGTTGGGGGATACAGACATCCGACAGACCCAGATGTGAAGATACTAGGCCATAGCTTTTAAAGAGAGCAAGATAGGGACTAATTGCTTGCCAGAGAGGTAAACATTCACAGGGCTATTCACAAAAAGGTGAAGAGTTTGGAGAAGGCCGGAGAAGTGAACAATCTAGGACAACATCGCTGAACTGGAAAGTGAGCTGAATTGGAGAATTGTTCCTATTTAGCTATTTTGGCCTAGCTTGTTCACTTCAACTGCCTTCTCCAAACCCTTCACTCTTTCTTTTGTGAAGAGCCCTTTGTTTGCAGGCAAGGCTATTTAGAATATTATTTAGGCCCTCTGTAATCTGATGACGGCGTAATGGAGGGAGCAGGATAGGTGTGGGGAGTGTATGCAATGCACTTCCATTCCCTGATCTTCTCATCTGCCCTCTAAAGGACAAAATTTGAGGAACTTCTGGGTCATGCTTCCTTCCCCTTCTAGCTCATAGACCTCGAAGTCCATAAGTTTGTACGGAAGTCTCCAAAGCCCAAGATGACGGTGGAACAGGCAGGATGTTCCATAAGCACCAGGACAGGCAGATCAGAAGACCCGTAATTTATGTACCATGTTTGATTCCCCCCGACAATCTCCACTCTTTGAGCTTATTTGGACTTGCAAGTTCTTAAAGTCTTCTCTTCTTTATTTTTTGCCAGCAAATGTTTTAACTCTGCACTTGTTTATTCTTTTTGTCCTTTGATATTGAAAAAAATCGTCCTGACTGCTGTGTGAGAGGTTGCAGTATATTCCGCCTAGCATACAGTAGTTTGAAATCATAGTTGGCAATAGTTAGAATATCAGAACAAGGATAGAATAAGCTGCAGGCCCAGGTCGCTCACGCCCACCCAATCGGGCCATGAGTTGTCAAAGCTCGGCTGCCTTTTTGGGGACCGAAAATTCAGGACAGATGAACTAATTGCTTTCTATAGTATAGTGCCCAACATGACCACACCTTGGACAAGTGTAAAGCTCACCACAGTCCAAAACAAGAGCCATAGTGATCCTTCTACCCGTTACCTTTGGGGTTCTTTCAGCCCCCCAAGTGCTGGGCTGTTTCCCAAAACACTGTGCAAGGCATCCGAATCTAAAAACGGCAGAATCTTAGCATTGCAAATTCAGGAAGTAAAATGACAAACAAAACTAATGAGTATTTTTACATATGTTATGGGTGAAATAGTCAGGACCAGAGAAATCATTGCCTTCCCTTTACTTTATGGAAGAGCAATGGTTTGACGAGACCATTATGTACCTCACTTAGCACCTTCCCTAATGGTCTTGTAACTGCTGATGTTGCCCTCTTACCATGGCCAAATTTAAACATGGTTGTCCTAGGCAAACTTAAATGGTGACACCTTACATTTTGAGGCTCAGCCCTGCCCTACTTACTCTGCTGCCCTAAGCAGGGACTCTTGGGTGCCATGATGGCAAATGCAGCCCTTCCATCCACCAGTTAGGTCTTTCTTGAACCCAAAGGTTACGTGCCTATATTTAGACATGGTTGCCATAGCCAAACTTGAGTGGTCACCCTTAAATTCTGAGGCTTAGTCCTGCCCTACTTACTCTGTTGCCCTAAGCAGGAACTCTTGGGTGTCATGATGGTGAATGCAGCCCTTCCATCCACCAGCCAGGTCTTTTTTGAACCCAAAGGTTACGTGCCTATATTTAGACATGGTTGCCATAGCCAAACTTGAGTGGTGTCACCCTTAAATTCTGAGGCTTAGCCCGGCCCTACTTACTCTGCTGCCCTAAGCAGGAACTCTTGGGTGCCATGATGATAAATGCAACCCTTCCATCCGCCAGTCAGGTTTTTCCTGAACCCAAAGGTTGCTTGCATAAGAATGATGTTTCA